CGGGGTATAGGCGCAAGGACGTTGATGCAGCGGTACAAAAGGCTTTGGTGCATGACCATTAGCCGGTAGCGATTGCGAGGAGCATGCCAAGATACCCAGGTGCGATTCGAGTGCAGTGGCGGGAGTTTTGCTTCTTATGGGACGAGGTTGGCTGTTTGAGGTGCAATTGATGAACTGACGACGTTTGTACCAACATTTGAATCGGTTCGTATGTATATTGATCATGAGCACTACTATATTTTGAATCTGCCAGAACATTGCATCGCGTTTTTTGGATGTTGAGCTGTGAGCGTGGTCACGTGTGGCGCTAGAGTAGCGTTAGGCGCTAAGGAACCGGCGCCCTCAATGATTGCCGGAACGCCGCTCACTATCACTCATACACCCACGACCCCGAAAGCTGAGGGCACCCGAACACGTCGTACAAAGCCTTCCGTCTGGGCTAGCGATATCCGTAGAACTTCCTTGACCGCGCAGAAGCTTCCTCAAGCGCTGACGTCGCCTGCCTGGCTTGCCTGCCTATTCCTCAATCCTCTGCACGCGAGCAACCATCACAAGCCGTCGCGCAGCTATCACAGAGCTCGCATCGTATACTAGATAGCTCAGACCATATCAAACAGTCGCGATCATGTCGAACTCGGTCGTGGTTAGTATCCCCAAGGCGCGCATGCGAGCGGTGGAAGGGTAAAGGCAGGCTTGCTAACAGCAACCACCAGGGCGGCGTGTACCAGCAGATCATCGAGAAGGTGATCCAGACCTCGCAGAATGACTTCGAGGAGTCGGGCGTCGATCATAGCACGCTCGACGAGATGAAGCAGGTATGTTGCAACCTGGCCTCCATCTCGGCCAGCGCGCCTTCCTTTTCTTTGTCGCAGCACAGTTGCGACCGCCGTCACACCGCTTTTCATATCTCTCACTTTTCTTGTCAATTCATTCCTCGCATCGGTTTCGCTGGCTGCGGCGATCGCGCGGTGTCCACCTGGCTTGGGTGATGGCGGCTGGAAGCGGGGCGGAGTTGCCGGTCGGTCTGGCAGCTCCGGGGGCGCCTCAGTATTTGAGATGCCTTCTTATAGCCCCTGCACAGCTCCCCCACCCGCCAAGACCAACGCATCATTTCCCAACAAGGCATAGTCTGTCATGTGACGGCTGTTCTCACATCATGTTTTGTTGCAGTTGTGCTGAGCATATACTGACTATCGCCAGGGCTGGCAAGAGAGGCTATCCGCTCTCAAGATTGCTCACTTTCCATGGGACCCTGCTCCTGAGCCTGTTCGTCAGCCGCCTACGGTACCGTCCAACGTAAAGGTTGACAATGATATGCCTTCCGTGTCCGGACCTCAGGAGGCTCTCAACTTCCCCAACGTGCCCGTGAAGCAAGAAGGAGGATACCAGCCACCAGTTGCCAACTACCCTCCTGCTCAGACTGCGAACAACGGCTACGGCGGTACTTATGATCAAAACCAGCAGCTCGCGCACCAGCGTGCAGCTGCTCTGGTACAGCAGCGAGTGCAACAGCAAGGACATGTGCAGCAGAACTTTCCTAATCTGGCGCAACAAGGCCATCTGCCTCAAATGCCTATGCAGAACCAGCAACAGCAGCAACAGCAACGCATGATGGCACAACAGCAGCAACAACAGCAGCAGCAGCATCAACGACCTCCACAACAACAACAGCAGCAGGGAATGCCACAGCAGCGTCCCCCGCCGCAAAATCACATGTACACCTCACAGACTGATGGTTCGGGTGATGCTATGGCTGACTGGGAGGCCTTGAAGGCCGCACGCGCTGCTGATGCAGTAGAGCGCATGGCGGCGGACGACTTCATGCGTTCTCATGTTGATGCCATGGCTATGCGTCAAGACAGTGGTCTCATGGTACCGCTCAATTCGATGCCAAAGGGCAGAAAGCGCAAAGCGGCTATTCGTGTCCTGCAGGCCGAAGACGCAGAGGCCTCGTCAAGCGCACCGGTTCCCGCGCGCTTCGACGGTGACGACGATGTGAAGCCAGAAGAAGATCCGGATGACGCCATTAACTCTGACCTAGATGACTCGGAGGACGAACTCGGAGATGGCGATAACAGCGACGATGAAATGGTCGACTATATGTTGTGCACCTACGACAAAGTCCAGCGCGTGAAGAACAAGTGGAAGTGCACGCTCAAGGACGGCATCTTGACCACGAACAAGAAGGAGTAAGTTTGGTGTTGAGACCTTGAAGAGATTTTGCTAACGATATTGAAGATACCTGTTCCACAAAGCAAATGGTGAATTCGAATGGTGAACATTCGCCACCCATTGCTAATGCCCGTGGTAGCTGAACTCGAGTTCTAAGTCGCTCCGTGCAGCGCACGAACCCCACTCGATCGAGACGCGAGTCTAGCACGCCTGATACACGATTCACCAAGCTCGATCCCCCCTTCGCGACGACAAAGCGGCTCGGTACGAACATGGATAACGGGCATCAGATTGGATACTATGGCCTGGCGCGACACTCGAGAAAGAAGAAAACAAGAAAGAAGCTGATTCCCATGACGCACTACATAAAACTATGGATAGGACGACTGGGCGTCCTGAGTATCCCTAGTTTACGCTATTCAGATTGATTTTGCACTCAGGTCAGGACTAGACGTTTGGCTGACCTCACATGTCCAAGCACAGGCGTATGGACTCCATGGCAGGTTTATATTCCATCAGGTGGAGTTTTTCAGCTTGAGTAAAAGAAGGAATTGTCGAGTTCGGGGCCTCATTCACAACAAAACGTCAGGACTTCTAAGTAAGAGGCTGCCAAACAAAGGCTCTTGATTGCTTCATCACAGAAGACATTGTACGATTGTGGATTTCATTTCCTACTCTGTTCGGGTCTGGACAGACTAGCAAATATAAGAACTAGCAAAATCGGCATATGCTGAGCTCAAGCTCCCTGTTTTCTGCCAGTAGTGATGCCTATTGTACTCTCATAGCATGTCGTAAGCGCCACTCTCGCCATCACTTCCTGGGCCATTCTGCATGAGGGTCTCGTCAAGGTCTGCGCCCTCAGCCTCGTCGTCATCCTCTTCCACAAGCGGGACAAAGCGAAAGTCAACGAAACTCACTTGTCCGCCTGTGGCCCCTCCAGGTCCAGTCTGAGAAGACGACCCACTACCCTCGACCTCAATCATGAACTGTAGACTCAACACGCCTTGGGTATCTGCTCGTATACTGACTTTAGTCGCAACGTTCATGGCACGCGCAGCCTTTTGTATCAAGCTAAACTTGTAGGACGAGCGGAGTACGGCTTGTGGATCGCTGAGCTGGAAGGTCTCGAGCAGATTGGTGGGTTTCTGATCTGCTGCCTCATTGTTCGTATTGAGGTTCGTAGATGCAGGAGTGCGGTAGGCAGAGGGCTGGGGCTGATTGTTGAACTCGACGCGCGCTGAGCCTAGAGTGCCTGATGACGATAGAGCGAAGAAGGGCTTGCCGCGCACGGTTTTGGCGTACATGGTCAGCTTCTCTGGGCTTGTAGATGATAGCTCTTGTACTGCGTCGTACAACCAGCTGCCTCGCATGATGATTTTCAGGGCGAGGGCTTGTCGATCAAAAGGTATTTCGTCTGTGTACTCTGGCTCGTACGTCGTGAGATCGCATTGCGTGCGTATGCTCGCCTCTGTCAAAGTGACCGCCAGTGGAGCACCGGGGCCATCGTAGCTTATCCGACAGAGGTTGTTCATGCCACCTAATATGTTGTTCCCGGTGAAGGCCGTGCTGGTGGGATATGCACCATCGCGCGCCCATGGTGGTTTGGAAGTGGAGGGGTCGGTGAGACCGAAGATCTGGAGGGTCTCAAGGAGAGCGGGAAGAGATATTTGAAACGCGGGGGTGGTAGTAGATGTTGGGTCGGGTTCATCGTCGCTGTCGGAGTGTTGTGAGTTCGGTGGTGGGGCGGGCGCATTGAAAGTGTAGGTTGTGAAGAGAGATTTGTCTAGGAAGGCAGATGCTATAGTTGTGTCAGATTTGGAATGTGTCAAAATACATTGCACCTAGACGCTACGTACCTTCCATGACGCTCGCCTCATCCACAGCGAGCTTCATGCCAATGTCGCTGATCTGGACATGAGCCTTATTGGAGAAGGCGATGCAGCGAAGGAGCAGGTACAATTGTCGCGCGGAGCTTGACACTGCCGTGAGTATTGGGGGCTCCTCTTCGTCCATGGTGCTGTGTTGTGAGTGTGAGGGTACGGGCTATCGTGCAGGTAGATTCGAGAGTCTTGAACTTTTTATTGGTATTCCATAGATTGTACACAGTATGCCCCTAACGCCGGATGGAGAAGTAGGAAACTAGACGTATACGCCGACTGCGCAGATCATGTAGACGGCGCCGAAGCTGTTTGCAGTCAGTGGGCGCATGTTGTAGCTGGGCTTCCGAGGCCACGTACCCGAATGCTAATGACGCGGGAACACCGAGAACGGGGAGGTTGATGAAGGAGCGGTCTGTGTGCGCATGAGTAGAGGTTCGCTAGAGGGGCGTGGCTATTTCGCGTACTCAAGCCGAAGATGGTAGTCAAGATGAGAGCTGCGCGCGTTGTTAGCAGAGGTCCACTAAGCAGCAGAGCTTCCAACATACAGATGGCCAGCAGCACGAAGCCGACTGTGAACTGCGTGTTCTTTCCGACGGCAGGGCTGAAGGGCGAGGACGCAGCAGCCTCCCAGACGTCTACAAGTGGGCTCGACATGTGTGCAGGCGTGCAATTGGGTTGTGTAAGTGTCTCTCTCTCGTGAAGCTGCTTTGGTGGCCTTTCGTGTTCACTCGCAGGTGATCGGCCGTGATTGGTGTGGGGCGACTAGCGCGGGAGGCGCAACTTCCCCGACATTCAGTCAACACCACGCACAGGACTGAGAGAAGGCGCGACGGCACACAGAAGGCGCCCTACACTGCAACATGGCGGGCGCGACCGACGACAGTAAGTGCGCATACCCTCTCCAGCTCCATGCGCGTCAACAGACGTGCATCGTACCCACAAGCCGACATGTCTCCCCGCAACGACATCCCGCAGTTGCGCGACGTGTTGGGCTATCCCACCTCTCCCCCAACTTCACCACTGCTCGCTCCTCCCCCCATACCTCGCCGACACACCCGGCAGTCTTCTTCCAACACACGACTTCGCGAACTACAAGCTAACCTGGCTCGCGATGAAGCTAAGCGCAAGGCAACCACCGACCCTCCCAACGGCTCTCCCAAGCGCATAAAGCAGGACCCCTCGACACCTTCTGCCGCCGACGATGCCCCCGCGCCTCCCGTGAAACGTATAGTGCCGTTCCCCGAGAAACCTGCCGTCATAGAAGAGCGCAATGGGGAGATTGAATTCAGAGTGGTCAACAATGATGGGGAAAGGGAGAGCACCATCATCTTGACAGGCTTGAAGTGTATCTTCCAGAAACAGTTGCCCAAGATGCCAAAGGACTACATTGCGCGTCTCGTCTACGACAGGACCCATCTGAGCATAGCCATCGTGAAACATCCCCTCGAGGTGGTAGGGTATGTAAAGGCTCTCGTCCCATGTCTGGCCAGATGCTGACAATACAACCTTCCAGTGGCATAACATACCGTCCCTTCGACAAAGGCCAGTTCGCCGAAATTGTCTTCTGCGCCATATCCTCGGATCAACAGGTCAAGGGCTACGGTGCCCATCTCATGTCCCATCTCAAAGACTACGTCAAAGCCACCTCGCAGGTCATGCACTTCTTGACCTACGCCGACAACTATGCCATCGGATACTTCAAAAAGCAAGGCTTCACCAAGGAGATTACCCTGGAAAAGTCAAGATGGATGGGCTACATCAAGGACTACGAAGGCGGCACCATCATGCAGTGTAGCATGGTGCCCAAGATAAGATACTTGGAGAGTGGCAGAATGCTCTTGAAACAGAAGGAATGCGCAAACGCCAAGATAAGGGCTGTGAGCAAGAGCTACGAAGTCCACGCGCCGCCAGCGCAATGGGCAAAGGGCGAACTGAAAGCCATCGACCCCCTGACCATTCCTGCCATCAAGAACTCCGGCTGGTCACCTGTCATGGACGAACTCGCTCGCGCGCCCCGCCACGGACCCAACTACAATGCCCTTCTCCATCTCCTCAACGACATGCAGAACAATAGCAACGCCTGGCCGTTCCAACAGCCCGTCAATAAGGATGAGGTGCTTGACTATTACGACGTCATCAAAGAGCCCATGGATCTCGCGACCATGGAAGAGAAACACGAAAAGGATCTTTATCCTACCCCCGAGGACTTTATCAGAGATGCCAAGCTCATCTTCGACAATTGCCGCAAGTACAACAATGAAAGCACGCCGTACGCAAAGGCGGCGAATCGTTTGGAAAGATACATGTGGCAGCGGATACGTGACATTCCAGAGTGGTCGGTAAGTACTCAACATTTTCGTGCCTGACGCAGCAACATCGTGACTAACAAACTACCAGCACCTGGAAGGCGAGTTGACAGGCAAGTAAGAGGTTTGAGGTCCGATCACTCTGATTTCGCCGTGCATAGGGGGCGTTTGTTATGTGGGTTATGGCAGCTTGTATCATCATCACCAACAGGCTTGTTGTTTAGCGGCATTGGGTAAGGTGTAAGGTGTAAGGTGTATGGTATGATAGCATTGGTTTGAGGGTTCGGTCGGGCTGATTATACCCTTTGTCGTTACGTATTCGAATCACTTGTTCGTACTCATCTTATGAGAACATGCAATGTGATGCTGGCTGTGCAGCGAATCTGTGGACATGTGGTTGAGCAATCATATGGGGCGCAAAGTGTGATGAAGTCCCAGACCGATGATGGAATATTGATTTATCTATGTGGCCTATTTGCTATGCGAGCAGGCCTTCCCCGTCTTGTCAAGCACATTCTCGATTCGTCACTATGCACATTACAAACTATGTGATTACGTGTTTGCTCTCCGCACGAGGTTCACATCACGGGTTAGCACGCGGTAGTACCAAGCACACGTTCGCAAGGCTAGGTACGTGGGACCAGATTCTGTGATCAACCTAAACGAAAGTAGGTAGCCGTGGGCCAAACATGCTTGGTACAATCGCACAATGCTAATATGTCGTGTCCCGCAACCTTATTGTGGCGTCCGTAGTGGTTGATGTACTCGGTTGATGAGGTTTGAATAAGGCTTCGCGGTTTAGCGACGGGGTGACAGCCACGACAGAGAAGCGAGTGAACAAACAAGCTTTGTGGCCGGTAAGGAGGCTTGTGCAGTGCGCGCTAGGAAGTATGAGCTGCAGTGCGGTGGACGAAGAAGATGAGGATGCTAAGCTCATTGGGATAAATAACGCGCGAGAATAGCCAAAGGCCGTTCGGAGGCTGCGCTGATCGTGTTTCGGGGGAACCGTGATTTGATCAGTGAAAGTACAACAATATTAAAGAAAGATGACTTGCCCAAAAGAAAGTGTGTTCAGCGATTCAATTCACAACCCCAAAATGGAGCTGTGCTATGGATCTAGGGGCACACCTTCCTGTCGCTGACGGGTATGCCTAGATCAGCTCTGGAAATCCCGGCATGTGCTTCGCAAACATACGATTATAATCGTGATATCGCTGTGATTTGCACCCAATACTAGTCGAAAAGCCTTACGCAATAGCGCAGATGTACAGGCTCGTGTTTGCTTGACGTGGTGTACACACATGTATTCCTCACCCGTGTTTCGTCTCGGAAAGTGGAGACTGTCTTCCAGACACTGATAGGAACTCACCGAGATGACGGACAGCACGGATGCAAAAAGTAAGTTGTTCCGGATTGCGAATAAGGTGCTGCATCGACCATAATCCTTCGAATCGAATATATGTAATCAGCGAATGGAGGCTCCGCGGATGGCTGTGCCTCTTAGTTGTTAGTATTCCGTGATTGTGCTCTTAGCAGACGCCACGTGAAGTATGATTAGGTACAGTAAATTGTAACCATTCGGTTGGCCTCGGGTGGGGTGGTAAGCCTGACATGGGAGAAGAGCCGACGACTTTGCCTAGTGCAGTGCGTAAGATGTTACGCTGGAGCAACGCGAAGCAGACGTTTCCCCATGTGATGAGCACCGTGAAGTATGAATTCGAGAGGGCTGGCTTCGCAGTCCAGCTCGAAATGATGCCAGCCCACACGATGTGCTACCGCATGGAGCTGGGCCCGCTGCGGGGAAGGGACAAGGCTAGTCCCAAGGCCACCTGCGGATCTTGAACGGCATTCATTACAATGCGCCTGGCGTCCAAAAGCATGTCAGGATCGCTCGGCCAGCCAAGACAGCGGCTATCCAAAGTGTATACACAGGCGAAGTCCGGGACATGATTCGGCGCATCTATCTCGATGCGTGCCCTCGTGATAAGAACCCCAGCTTCCCTCAGCTGCAGGACACCACAAGCGCGCTCGGTGGTCCAGCGTCCCTAGCGTAGACCTGGTTATCGGAATGATGGTGATAGCGCTGGTCGAGACCCGTTGGTCAGATAGCATTGAGGGACACCAATCCAACACTCGCTGATGGAGGCGCACGCCGTGTGCTACCATGGCGTTCGCGCGTGTTCCGCTGCAGCGTACTGATAGGAGTGGGTTGGTCTCCTTGCGTCAGACGGAGTACCCGGTCTGATCTGCATTCCGGAGGGTCCACAAAGACAAAGTACAAGCGAAATTCAGCGACGCAGGACGGTTCGCAGATGCTGTCTTCGCCCCTGTGTAATTGCTGCGAGACCCTGGGAGTTGCTTCTGCACATGACCCAGGGCAGCGGAAACGTCGACCTCGGGGAAGACGATGGAGGTCGGGTTGTCAAGGCAGAGGTGTTGCTTCGAGAACGCCACGCGAAGCCCAAAACAGAGCCTCAACCGAGGAGGGGCGCATATTCGCCGCCGCTTATCACGGACTGGGCGGGCGTTCCAGCACGTTCATCTCCGTGATTGGCGCTTGGACGGGCTATCAAGGCTGGGGAAAGATAAGAACCTGGTCCGGGTTGCAGAAGCGCGGTAGGTCGGCCGGTACTGGGTCGGGTTGACACAAGAGACAGGCGTGTGAACAGCGAGTAAGCGAGCACCAACATGAGACGGTAGATATTCCAGAAAGCGGAGACGACCGGGAGCCAATGGAACCCTGTGCTACTGTGCTCTAGCCAGTGCAAAAGAGGAAGTTGCCAAGTGACCGTCTGGAGCCCGTTCAACTGTTTGTCTGGGCCAGCGACGGTGCGATCCCTCCACTTTGGTGGTAGCGCGTGCCACGGTGCGAAAATATAATTCCGCGAGGGCCGACCTCGATGTGAGAACCAACAGTTCCTCGTTGTTCAACCTCTGTTCAGGAATTGTCCTTGTGCCTATTCGTCGCCATGGCTGATATCCGCGACCAACACAACGGCTCACCAATGCCCGGTGTCGCCCGCAATGACGACCCGGCGCTAGACATTGCGCGCGAGCACCACCACGAACACGTGCACCACAGCGCGCGTGCGGCCCACCCTGACAACGTTGTCTACACCACCGGAACCACAGACGAGCCGACCAGCAAGTTGTTCCGGCCCAGTGGTCTTGACAGCGCCAGCCAATTCACGCCCATTGGTGTTGACAGCACCAACCTCCACCAGCGCCACCCTGTCAACGAGAAGCATGACATTGAGAAGGCCGGTGGCTACGACTACGAAGTCGAGAAGGCTACGCGCAGCTCTTCTGATCCCGAAATGGAGGCAGAGAAGAAGCCCTGGTACTCTTCCTTTGGTGCTTTCTACCGGGCGTTCAGACTGCCTGTCCACATCTTTATTGGAGCGCTCTTCACCGGGTAAGACGCATTTTAACGTCCATCGTCTCGAGTGCTTCGGGCTAACAGTATCAGATGGTGGATTGCCAGTGTAGTCGTGCACCGCAATGACAAGAACTGGATCATCCCATTCTTGTTCTGGCTGGCCATTATGATCCGCCTGATCACTCTGCACATTCCCATTACCATTGTCACCAAGCCTATGCACTGGGTCTGGGCCAACACTGGAACGAGAATTGCCAACCTCATCCCGGAGAAGATGCGCATTCCTGCCGCTGCTTGCCTTGCCATCGCTGTCATCATTGTCGGATCATTCGCCAGCGAAGAGAGCGAAGACAACACCCGCGCAAACCGGGCCGTTTCGCTGTTCGGTCTCGCCGTCTTCATCTTCATGTTCTGGGCGACTTCCCGCAACCGCAGCAAGATTGTATGGCATACCGTCATCGTCGGTATGCTCATGCAGTTCATCATCGCGCTGTTCGTTCTGCGTACTAAGGCTGGATACGACATTTTCAACTTCATCTCCGAACTCGCTCGCCTACTCTTGGGTTTCGCCAGGGATGGTGTCGCTTTCTTGACCACCCCAGAGATCTCTGAGAACACGTACTTCATGTTCAGCGTCATTCCGGCCATTATCTTTTTCGTCTCGTTCGTCCAGCTCTTGTACTACTGGGGCATTCTCCAGTGGTTCATCGGCAAATTCGCCGTCTTCTTCTTCTGGTCTATGCGAGTATCCGGTGCTGAGGCCGTGGTCGCGTCTGCCTCTCCTTTCATCGGCCAGGGTGAATCTGCTATGTTGATCAAGCCCTTCGTTGCCCATCTTACCATGGCCGAGATGCACCAGGTGATGTGCTCTGGATTCGCTACCATTGCCGGTAGTGTTTTGGTCGCCTACATCGGTATGGGCCTTAACCCGCAAGCCCTGATTTCATCTTGCGTCATGAGTATCCCTGCCTCGCTTGCTTTCAGTAAGCTGCGCTACCCGGAGACTGAGGAGACTCTTACCGCCGGTCGTGTTGTCGTGCCCGACGACGATGAGCACAAGGCCGCCAACGCTCTCCACGCATTTGCCAACGGTGCCTGGCTCGGTCTCAAGATCGCCGGTATGATCGTCTCTACGCTCTTGTGTATTATCGCTCTTCTCAACCTGGTCGACGGTCTGCTCACCTGGTGGGGACGCTATATCAACCTCGATGGCGACTACGACTTGACACTTGAGTTGATCCTCGGTTACCTTTTGTACCCTGTCGCTTTCCTCCTCGGTGTATCGCGCCAAGGCAACGATCTGATTCTTGTCGCTCGTCTCATCGGTATCAAGGTCATTACCAACGAGTTCGTTGCGTTCCAATCGCTCACCGACGAGGACCCCGCGTCCCCCTACCACGACCTGAGCCCACGCTCCCGTCTTATCGCTACCTACGCTCTCTGCGGTTTCGGCAACATTGGTTCCCTGGGTACCCAAATCGGTGTGCTCAGTCAGATTAGTCCTGGCCGCAGTGGTGACGTTTCGCGTCTCGCAATGTCCGCTCTCATCACAGGTGTTTTCTCCACTCTGTCCAGTGCGACGGTCGCAGGTCTTGTCGTTCTAGACGGATCCAACTTCAGCTCAGGCTCGTAGGCCTAGAGCTGGAAATGTGTGAAATGTTGCATTGCTGAGGAGTCGCTGTTTGGTGGTCCTAAAAGATTATGTTTAGCCAGTTTTGGTGTACGAGATACCCACAGTAGTA